TAACTTAAGTTATCCCATTCATTGGCATTGTGGGGTAATCCTATATGATAGCACTGCCCACAAGTGACAGTGAGTCAGCCAGTGAAGACTGGCCCTCTCTGGGACCATTAATGCAAATTTTAGTATTTTGTGACAAAAACATATCAACAAATACACAACAAAGTTGCTGCTAGATAGTACTGGTTTATTTTCCAAGATGCATAGATTCCTCATCCTCAAACTGTTTAAATACAGCAACAAGAGTACACTTTTAATATGTTTAACTTTAAATCCTCAAATATATACAGTCGATTCTCATTAGTACAAACACTGTTAAGACAAATTCTGGTTAAAGCAAACACAAAGCCTTGGTCCAGACTGTGCATTTATGTGCACAATGAATTGGAGTGATGTTCCTCTTAATACAAAATTCTGATATAACCAACAATTTGGCTCGATCCGAACGAGTTTGTATTAATGAGAGTCGACTGTATACAACCCTAAATAATATGATCTCTTAGAACAGATCAAGTCAAATGCTCACTATCTTTCTACAAAGGTCAAAATTTTACATAATTAATTACAAATCTTGATTAGGTCATTAATCAGATACAGGTCAGACCAAATGTTAGGAACAAGATATTGACCTCTTTGAGGTCAAGGATTCTCATCTTGCCATCTTCCAATGATCAAACTTTCCATGACCTTTAAAAGATCAAGAGAGACTAAATCTAACACATTTGTTGTAGAAGTTACGAAGGTATAAATCTTCTGTTTACAAGGATACAGCTTTGAGGGCAACTTTCAGTCAACATATAAAGGCACTATACTTTATACCTGATAAATAGGTCTACGAATCGCAAAATTGGATACACTTTAAAAAGTGGTCTCACCAGGATTTTCATTCAGAGTGGGGGAAATTTAAAATGGTCTCAGTAAAATTACGACTATACTCCACCATGGAGGGATGTACTCACTGGAAGATAGATAGAATTAGTGGTGGGGGATTTTCAGCAAAACGGTTATTGTTTTTTCCAAGTGGCACTTAGTTTTAAGAGTGTGTATCATTTTGGTCAGCGTGGGGCAACTCTCAATTATTTTTCCGGTTAGAGTGTGGGGCCAGTGCCACATGTAATGCCTGGTGAGACCACAGGCTTCAAAGTTAAAAAGCTCTAAAACAAATTTTTCATAAAGCTCTATGTAACTAGTTCCTTTATAAAAGTACTAATTCTCTAGTCTTTGAGTTCTTCTGAGGATATATACAAGTTTACTGATTTTCTGCTCCAAACTCCTGGTTTTTGTAAAAAGCTCTCTTACTCTAGCTTTTGTTGCATATGTGATGTATAATGGACATGCAATCAGGGGAAGACGATTGTAGCTTATTGCTAAATGATGTTTTTACCAACTTTCTTAAAAAAAAATCCTACCGATCTGAATAACCAGAGAAAGAACTGTGCTATATTTGTATATATGTGAATTCCTCTGGGGGAAAAAAAATGAAAAGGCATTTTCAACGGTGTTGTAGTTCAGGCAGTTGTGCTGAATCGTAAGTACAATGCTAGCCTTGACCACGGCTATGAGCTTGTTCCCATACGAGCTTGTTCCCGCTACCGCACACCGCGCGCGCAGCGACACAATCCCTAGTTGTACTATACCGTTAGCCCCAACGACCCTTGCGTGTGCTTTGTGTGCATGTAAGTACGCCCCAAACACACTTCCGCAAACAGTCGTACAGTGAGTCGAGGCGGAAGATCTTCTGCCTCGGAAGATCTTCTGTAGTCTGGTTCCCAGACCAAAAGATTCCGACTATTCCTGATGAATCTTAGGTCAGGTAGCCTCCAACCTCGTCCCCAGTGCTTACTTTATTTCCAACGGCGTTTCCAATAGTAAACCCTGGATAGGAAACTTTCTTCCTGTATCCTGATTGGATACCGCAATTGGCTAGTAGTGGATTTTTATCGTGTACTTGGTGCTATATATTCACAACGTGCAGTACGTGTTTTCGCGATCATTCGTCCACGCCTTCTCGAAAATACTAATTTCCTTTCCAATTTGCTCATATTAATATGAAATATGATACTGCATGTTGTCTCGATAAGATCGTAACAGTTTGATTTCAAAAATCGTGTTTTCGTAACTCACGCCGTGCTCGCGCTGCTACGAATTGACTCTGTTTTTACCCCAGACACCGCATACAAAAACAAACGCTAATGTGTATCGCATATCCAGGCACCAGACTGTTCCTCATTTGCATACGTGTGCAAAAATCTTGCACATGCAAATGATCCAATACCAGGGTGAGAGAGCAGGTAGTAGTGGGCGCGTACTGCTCGACACCCTGGGGACGAGGTTGGGTAGCCTCCGGTAATACAATGTATTACAATTTACATCACGTGACTAAAACGGGAGGAATTCCTCCTTTTTCCGAAACTGTCCGAAGTTTGCCGAATTCATTTCGTCGACAATCGGATAGTGTCCGAGTATTTCCGAGTATAATATAGGTTTTATTAACTGCTAATTGCTTACTAAAAACTTTTAAAAACTAGTTGATAATTAATATCCATTGCTTTTATTTCGAAAACTTGAAATTCAACGACGATTTTGCACTCGGATCGTATACGAGGGCGAACTTTTTGCTGCGTCATGCACTAGTTTGAATTTGACGACCGTTACCGGCATTTTCCAAAACGCGGCGTGGTCTCAATTCGGCTCCGCCTGCTAACAGTGCTGTTTGGGTGTCCAACTTTGAAGATTCCAGGTTAAAATTAGTCAATGTTTTTTTACAGAAGTATTAAACTGTATATCATAACAGTATGATATATGAAGCAAGTGATTTATTTTTAAAAAAATTATCGGAACATTAAAAGCTTTATGTGATAAAGCGAATTCGGAAACGAAGTCGAGCTTTGAAAAAGGGCCGTCAATGTCGTCATGTTTATTTTTAGCCACGGAGGCTGCCTGACCTACAATTTAGACGTGTAGACGTCGGGGGAAATTGTCAGGTCGGGGAACCAGACTAGATCTTCTGGGGCTAACAGTATAGTACAACTAGGGATTGTGTCGCTGCGCGTGCGGTGTGCGGTAGCGGGAACAAGCTCGTATGGGAACAAGCTGATAGCCTTGGTCAAGGCTAGTACAATGCACATCAAAAGTCCGGCCACAAGACAAGTCCATTCACATCTCCAATAACAGGGGATAAACACTAAAAAAGGAACATGTCTTTTTGTCACATATTTTGTTCAAACAGTTTGTGAGTTGACTTGGAATTGGAAGGCTTGTGATTGACTTGTGCTGGACCTCTACAGTATCACTGCTTTTTAAATACCATTTCATATGGAATTTTTGGTGGGTAACTTGGAAAGAATGTACATAGTACATGTAGTATCCAGACACCAGTTAAGTCTATGGAGAATCGAGTGCATTTTGAAAGTATTTTCAAACAAAATTTTAAATGTTTCCAAGTCCCAGATTCATGTCTTTTCAACATTTTTGTAATGACTTCATGGAGATAATTTATGAAGAAAAGAGTGGCGTCAGGATGCAACATTCTTTCTGGTAACTTCACCAATCACAGCCTGATTCCTGAGCAAATGCATAAAATAGGTAGCACTGAAAATTATGCCATGCTGTCATCAACAAAAACACATTCAAGGTTAAGAGTCTGTAGTTACAGCCAATTATGGCCAAGTTCGGGCAAAGACCATTAGTCGACTAGTGGTTGATTTGTGACGTACCTTACGCCTGCGCACTAATAGCAAAGTGCGAACGTCTCTAGTCGAACACTGGTCAAAATGTCATAGCAAAACGTCTGGATCCTGGCTCCCTGCTGTACGTTATGAACGCGCGCGGCTATGGTTACCAGCGAAGCAACCAACCCCAGTAGGTTGGTTCCAAATATCGACTAGCGTAGTCAACCATCGTCGACTAGACAGAGTTCGGGCAAACGTTAGTTAACCATTGGTCAACTATAGTCCTTGCGCGAACTTGGCCTTAGTTGTGAGTAAATATCATTCATACAGACTTGTAATACTAAGGATATACAGGCATACTTCATGTTGTGAAATCTGGATATCTCATACAAGTAATTAGTACACATAAATACCATCCTGTATCATAATTTAGGCTTAAATACACGCCATTCCGGTTTGCATCATCATCATCATGGTTATATCGCACATCCATTCAAGTTGCCAATTTCTTAAGTTATATAAATAGTTTTTTTAGTCTTGAGAAAATAGACTTAAATACAAATATAGATTTTATCATGTGTACAATATTTACAAAGTATGTATATATGTTTGATTAAAAACAAGCATGGCTCTCTGGTTGTACTCTGATTAGACTAACAAGAACTTTGGATCTGATAAGAACCAAAACAAACGCCTGATGAAGAACAATAGATTTCTGCTCAGTCCTTACAGACTTAAATTCTACAATGATTCTTAATTGAAAACAATTTTTTTGTTCTTACAAAGAATAATGTTTCTACGGGGAACCTTCATTCTCATAAAAGAACCATAGTACTCACGAGGAACTACAGTTCTTTGAAAGAGTTTTAATTCATAAAATTTCTTAACTGGGACCTTCGTTATCAATGACAATATCTTGATTTTTATTAAAGACCATTTAATTCATTTAAGAACTGCAAGTCTTATAAGAAAAGTCACATATTAACCCAAACAGTCCTGAATCCTCCAATGTTCATATGTTTTTTTCACACACCCTTGGGAATTTGGGTTAAATAACCAAAAACAAAATAAACTAAAAAATATTGAGCCAAATACTTATGGTCAAATTTTTTCAAAGTTAAAAAAAAAGGATTATCAAGAAGACTGAATCTAATTCCTGTTAAATTTCACTTGTTTCATTCTTGCATTTAAAAATCACTCATTTATTATCTGATTTGTTCCAAAAGCACAAAAATAGACTTAAGTCTCTTACATCTGTATGTAATTCCTGTTACAAATTCTAAACTAAAAAAAACTAAATAAAGACGCCCCAAAACACGTAACATCTTTTAAAAATGTGGACAAAAATAATACATCAAACTTTCACTGAAATCAAAACCCAACAAAAATATGAAAACGAAAACAAAAACCTTCAACTATGAATAAAAAAAAATCTACAAATAGTTTTGCATATACACACCTTCCTTCTTTACACCCATCCAACTTGTAGTCATACCCTCTATCCTTATCTCCCTCCCAAATTGTAGCCATTGCTTCCTTTCACCCATTCCACTTATGTTCTCTTTCCTTATCCCCTCCCACTTGTACCCACTCCCTCCTTTTACCTATCCCAGTTGTAGACATACCTGTATGTCCTCCATCCTTCTCCTCCCAGATGAAACCCCACCTACCATCCTTATCCCCCTCCCAGTTGTAGACACACCCTCCTTCCTCCTGCTCATCCCACTTAGCTCCGCCTTCCATCCTTATCCCCCTTACCACTTGTAGCCACTCCCTCCGTTTGCTGTGCCACTTGTTGATATATTCTCCATCATAAAACCCCTCCTAGTTGTAAACACCCACATCATCCTCATACCCATCCCACTTGTAGCTTTGCCCTCCATCGTTATACCCCTCCCGGTTGAAGACACTCCCTCCATATCCTCACTATTGAAGCCATGCCCTCCATCCTTATATTCCTCCCACTTATAGGCTCCCCCCACCCAGCCCCCAGCTTATACAGGATGAGCTTTGCCCTCTACGCTACACGTCTCACAGATCGTCACTGTGTGCACTGTGCCGTCCAGATGCAGACATGGATATCTCGCATCGTTATTATCCTCGTCGTCAATCTGCTTAACGACGTCTCTCCCTGTCGCAATGACGGACTGGGCCTCATCAGCAGGCAGCTCCATAAACTCCCAGGATGCACCAGTCCAGTGCCTGAGCAGGGTTGCCATCTGGATGTGCCGGAACTCATAGGTGAAGGTCAGAGTGTAGAGGTTAAAGGTCACGACAAGGAGCCATTCAAACAGAGCGCTGATCCGACGAAACTTTATTTGCTGTTGCAAAAGAAAATGAAAAGACATTAACGAGCATGTCATGCTTCCTGTATGAAGACAACCACTTTTTACTATTTCTTTCTCCTCACTGTTTTCTGACAAAACTTTTGTCACTTAAAAAAGAACGATAACAAGTTTCTCTGTTTTTTAGTCAAAGTTTAAAAGACCATCAACGCGTAATCTTGGAAGACTGAACATTATCTTTTAAATATGTCCAACATCATGTTCTCTTTGTAGTGTTTTGCAGAACTCTCACATTATTAGAGCTTTCACTTTTTTAGCAGGGTTCAGTTGCTCATCAAATAAAGAAAAATCTGATTTCTGCGATACGTTAAATTTGATTTTACAGGTGGAATTTTTGCGATGTCACATCACATTTTGAAAGGCAGCATGTGGTGTAATACAAGTGCATTCAATTTACATGTAGTGGGTGTGCATATTTAATGGTGTGGTTAATGCTAAAAATATGTCATCAAAAATTAGGTCAATACCAAAACTGTCAATGGCTTGGACTTCTAAGCACAGATCATTGTGCAGAAGATCAAATGTCACAAAGTGAACAACCAGCTCAATTTTTTTATTATTATTATTTTTTTAAAGTATGGTTTTGCCTTTGAGAAAGATCATGCAAGGGTCAAAATGTCAGCCCCCTATCTTTTTTTAAAATAAGTATTTCATTTCAACCCAGTCAGTAAGCAGTTTGCAGCAGTTGTGTTCATATTCGCTTTTTTTTGGGGGGGGGGGGAGGGAGCGATTTTTGGTTCTTTTCTTTTCTTTACTACAGGCGAAGTTATACCCCCTCTCCGGCCCCTTTTATACGTACTTCAAGCAAGCCACAGGCCCTATTTCCCCCTTTAGCTCTCTTGCCTGGATTTCCTCCAGACACAACATAAACCCTGCAGAGTTTTTCTCTCATTTTATTTCTGACAGCGAAAGCACCTCGAGCTGAAAGCGATGAGCAACGACACGTTAGCTCGGGTCGGACATTTCAGATACTGAGGGGGGATTACATGATTCAGCGGGGAGCAATTACAAGCTGAAGGTTGAGGGGAAAAAAGGGGGAGCGCTGTTGCTTTCAGACGAGGATGCAGTCATTACTTAATTGAAAACATGTAGGGTTTGTCATCCATGGGCCTTATTCACGAGTCGGCCATATTGAATTGAAAGTTAGGTAAAATCTTAATTTTTTGAACTTGCGAAGAGAAATGAAAGCAATTCAATTTAAAATCAATTCCAGTCTGCCTCAATAAATAATTTTTCATTTGTAATTAAACATTCCCTAATGTTTAAAGTAATATTAAAAAAATGACAGTAATACAAGGCTGCATTGTGCCTGCATTAATAGTCTGGCGCCATCCAATTCAACAGTTAACAATTAATGAAATACATGCAGGGAACTCGACAAAAATGGCCAACTCTTGAATAAGGCCCGGGAAGGCTCTGAAAATCTAACCCAGTTTGAGAAAATTGGAAAAAGTTTTTTGAGCAAAGAGCTGGTTAGACAAGAACTGTTTCGCCCTCACTATGGTCAGTGAAATGTCACACAAAGTAGCGGCTGATTGTGGTACTTGTACTTCTACCGATACATCAGATTTGAACAGGCCAGCCAACCCTGGCAGTCTTGGGAAATTGGTAAGATATGTGAACTAGTACATGTAAGCAGGAGGTTGTGGGTTCGAGTCCCACCCTAGTAAGCTTGTGAAGTGTTTCTTGCAGGTCCTGGGACAACACTCTTGTATATCATTGGTGAATGGCAAACACTGAAATGCATGAAATGTCGTCAGTAAAAAGACTGCTTGCAATTGACCGACCACACAAGAGGGGGGGGGGGGGATGGTCTGGCATGTTCTGATGAAGCGAAGTGTATTCATAATCAACCTCAACCTAGTAGACTTTCATAAAAAAAAACATCAAGTTCTGAATTGAGCCAATGCTTCATCAGCAACATTTGCTTTGTTGGAGGTCTTTATCATCTTTGACTCACATCCGGAATCGGTGAGACCGGACACGCCATATCCAAGCATGTGTCAAATACAATTACAACATTGAAAAAATGTACTTTGGAATCCTAAATCATGTGCTCATGAATCCACGGCAGGCTCAAATCAAGTCTGGACTTGAGCCCATTTTTATGTTTCAGTGATGAAATATTTGGTAAGCTGTAAGCTTAACAAGAAGATTTTCCAAACAGCTTCATGAGTTTACTTCTTAAGCAGCTTTTCACTGTCATGACTAAGAGATTCATTCAATTTGTGGCAAAAGTAAGAAAACATTATTCTTTTTATCTCAGGATGAATCGTGGTTTACTCTTGTTTAACCGTGGTCTTTAAAGGGAAAATACAACATTGGCAAACATCAAAAAATAAAACTACCAAATCATTTTGAAATACCTTGCTGGACTGTTGGTGAATAACAGTGTAAAGCATCCTGTAAAATCATGGCACGTATACTGTCATTTTCAAGAAAAGTGGTATTTTTGTATCAATTTCCAATGCTGGTCGGCCGACCAGCGTTGGAAAAAACTGGCTTTTTTTCAAATACTGGCCCCAATTGACCATCGCACTTGTTTGCAATCGATTACACACCTACGAACGGGTACAAGCCAGCTAGACTGGTTCCCTGACCTTACAATTCCCCAATGTATGTAAACTGCTCTGTTTCTTCTAATATGGAGTCAGGGAACCAGACTACAGGAAAATGATTGTTTTTCTTGGTTTTTATAGCATTTTCGAACACAAAACCTCAAAAAAGTCAGTGTAACTATATTTGCTAATTATTTCCAACCCCCCAATTCCATCCATTTCTGAAAATTACAGCAAAAGCAAATAATGTATATTCCCTTTAAGAACACTTATGACAAATGCTTGGCCACAAGTTGACTTATTACTGCGAACAGATAATTCAATTATGACATAAGATAACCTATAGATAGATGCGAAACACCTCCTGAAATGGATGGATGTATATAAAGGGGGGGTGTAGCAATGTTGTAATGAAGTTCATCACAAGCCCATTTATAAGTAAATCACAATCCAACTCACAAGCCAACTCACAAGCCAACTCACAAGCCAACCCCTAAAATAAGCCAACTCACAAGCTAACTGATCACAAGCCAACTCACAAGCCAACCCTAAGCCAACTGATCACAAGCCAACTCACAAGCCAACCTCACAAGCCAACTCACAAGCCAACTCACAAGTAACACGGGATGAACAATAACAGAGGAATGCCTTAGTCAGTTTGTCACAGTCCATTTGAATATCTTGTGACTTGACTTATTGGGACTGACTGAGTCTCGTGATTGCTTGTGAGGACTTGTAATGTACATATATAGGATTTGTAATAGACACGTGACAGAGTTGTGATAGAGTTGTGATGGACTTGTGATGGACTTATGATGGTACTTGTGATGGATTTGTGATGGATTTGTGAGGGACTTGTGATTAACTTGTGATGGACTTGTGATGCGCTTGTGATGGACTTGTGATGGACTTGTGATGATCTTGTAATAGACTTGTGATAGACTATTAATGTGATGCCCTTGTGAGGGACTTGTGACGGACATGTGAAGACTTGTGAGGACTTGTGATGGACTTGCGATGGACTTTTAATGGACTTGTGATGGACTAGTGATGGACTTGTGATGGATTTGTGATGGACTTGTGATGATCTTGTAATAGACTTGTGATAGACTATTAATGTGATGCCCTTGTGAGGGACTTGTGACGGACATGTGAAGACTTGTGAGGACTTGTGATGGACTTGCGATGGACTTTTAATGGACTTGTAATTAATGGACTTGCGAGGACTTGTTATATGGACCTATTCTGGGCTTGTGATGAACTCTATTGCAACGTTGGAAGAGAGCACCACAATCTATGGCTGTTCGACTTTAAAATTAACTGGCGTGACTTACCGGATTGCAGGAGTCGGCGTGCCATCGCAGCACTGTACCAAACAGGATGACTGGCAAGAACACAAGCATGTCAAGGAAATTGCTACACACAGGCTGTCGAGAATGCTGTATAAATTACCCAGGGGCCAATTTTACAGAGGCTGCTAAAAGCACAGAAATGTGCTACGGTGCTACGCACAGAAAATGTTTTTCTGCTGATGAGCAAAAAAACAGGTTACCATAAATGTCATGCGATGTTCACTGCATGTGACTGGTATTCAGGTATTTTTTTTTTGCTCATAGCGAATAAATTTGTCAAGAAGTGTACATGTACAGTGAGGGGCCAGTTTAGTGCCATTCTTTGGTCACTGTGTGACACAAAATTGGGCTTGTCTGATTTTTGAAGCTTTACCCTTTGTTAACTACATCTGACATATTTCACTGATTCATCATGTTAGCAATTTTTAATCCCTACCTCAGAGTATAGTTTCTACTTTAACAAACTGTGTCAAAATATTTGGAGGGGTCATCAAAGTCACATGTGTGACAGCAGAGGTAAAAATATTATCGGGCCCATATCTGAAATTCACATTTTTCACACAAACACTCATACTAATTTTAAAGTAAGTCTAGTCTTTTGTGATTTACAGAATGCATAAACAATGTACACCCTCTGCTTAAGTTACTAAATGTTTTCCAAAAGTTAATTTATTAGTTAATTTCTGATTGAACCAGCTAAACGATCCCGCAAGCTTGGTGGTCGAGTGGTAAGACGTCTGCACTAGAAAGCATGAGGTCGTGGGTTCGAGTCCCACCCGAGTAATTTTTCTCAACTTTTACTCGGGAAATGACACACTGAGTGTACAGTGTTTATACGTCTGTGAAAGGCAAAACCTAATATTGATTTACATCATCGACGCAAAGTCCATCTTATGAAGAAAAAAACATATTAGCCAAAAATGTCATGTGATGTCTGTTGCTTGTGACTGCTTCTCTTATGATTTGTTGCTTTTAGCACATTAATTTGTCAAGGTGTAAACACATGTACATTGGACAGGGTAAAACTGGAGGAGGGGGAAAGTATGGAGAAAGTAGGGGAAGGGTGGAAGGGATCACTGTCAGGCAGTCCTGCTTTCAGGGTAAGGTCCACCTGCTACACCAGTTTCTCTTTAATGAGAAACAAGTGTTTTCCCCTTGGATTGTCTGTTGTGGCCCCCACACAACATGCTGTGGCTGATGGATATGAAAACCAGGAATTAACTCGCCATGCGCTTGTGATCTGCGCTGTCGGTGCACAAAATGGATAATACTCTCGCAGGGGAAAATCCAGCAGCTGAAGTCATGTTTTTCCCTTATACTGTGAAACTATGCTTATAAGTCCTGTTTCCCCCCATGTAAAAAATATATCAAGGGCAGCGATCTCTTCATCCTGTTTTTAGTTTCTTTTTTTTTCATTTCAGACAAAAACGGTTGTTCTAATCTTGATCCGGTTTATACTGATAGCTACGGTGTTGATTTCTATAGTGGTTATTTGCGCCACAGGGTCTCTGAACAAAATTTGTAAAAAAGATTTGTTCATTTTGGAAGGCATAATTCCAGGTCAAAGTTTATCAAAAGCTTGTGTTGATGTATCTTATATTTCATGTTTCAAAAACCCATAAAATGCACAAACAAAGAGTTTATGTTATCTGTGACCAGCTCCACAAAAAAGGGTATTACATGTAAGTCGCGCTGTGCATAATTGTGTAATGGCCCCCTCAACATTGAGAGGGGGAACATTTTGTCAAAAGTGAATTTCATTTTTTGTCATGAATGACATCTTTAATACCTAATGTTTGAGGGTTCATTCACAGAAATGTTGATTTTGATGAACCAAGTGGAAAACAACCATATTGTGTGCATCGTTCTGTTGTTCTACAACAAGGCCAGCTGCCGGTACCGGTATTTCCAAGCCTGTTTTCTCAGTCGTGTAATTTGAACTCCAAGGAAGTAATTAGTATGCAAATACGTCATATCTCCAGAGCAAGAGGGCTATGGAGCTCTATTATACAAAAGGAAAGCTTATATTGTGAGCTTTCCAACCATGTATATAACTCAATTGCACTTTTTTGCAACATAATGCCTTTTTTTGTGGAGCCGGTCACATTTAGCAACTCTTTTTCTTTCGAGGCAAGCAGTTGTTATGAAGAGACTTGACAAGCACATGGCTCACTGGCCTTGCCAATAAACCAGACAGACTGACAGGCAACACTGCAGACACCTAGACAAGCACGGTGATAGACTGCGTGCAGGGGGTAGAACATGAGGCAAAGAGTTGAGACATGCTAAAAAACAGGAAGACCTAGAACTGAGTGTGGAAAGACGTTATCACAGCGCTGCTGGCGTGCGTAAAAACTGGCAGCTGATTATGTCTCATCGAGGAGTTAAAATGTTATCAATAGGTCCTGGAGTCAGGTAAAGCACTTTAAAGCTATAGTCCATCATTTGTAATTAGTGCATTTTGTTCGTTTGAAGCAACAAAAGTGTTCAAAATCTAATGAAGGATACTGAACAACTTACTTGATGAAGTTTCAGCTCAGCTTCAGCTTCATATTCCGAGAAAAACAGCATTCTAGGATCTCAATTTAAAATCAAAAGTTGCTAAATCATGTTTCGAATTGTTTTGAATTGCAGCTTTACGCGATGTTGCGCACTGATCCAACGAATTATAGCAACCGCGCGCGCCTGTGCGTCGTTCCAATGCTTGTGCGCGCTGCGCCGAATAACAAAACGAACAACTAATTTAAATTTTCCTACGGTGCTTCTTAAGAAGCACCGTTGAAAATGCCTTCTTTCGTTGATTTCTTCAAAATGAGAGCTTGCCAGAAAGGATAATTTCACAGGGAGTTTAGTCCCCTTACTATCTTTCAACCAGTATGTTTTTCAACAATAATTACGCCGGCTACTTTTTTGGATAGCTGCAAATGATGGACTCGGGCTTTAAAGTAATGTGCACGAACAAGAGAGGATGCTTTTGTTCCACTTTCGAGAGCCCCGTGGACGGGACACACTGCAGTTCCCGCACGTATAGCGCAAAGTACGCACGACTAATTCTATTCTGACTGTGCACACAGCCATCGCGTCTTCGCGTGAGTGTCAGGCGTCGTCGGCAATGCATTTGAATTTCTCTTCAAGTGATCTCCCCCAATTAACTCTCCTTTTCTTGCTGTTGAGGGGTACTTGTGCACAGAGCCCATACATGTATACTCATTGGATGGTGCGCTGACAAAACAGGCTGAAATAATTTAGACGCCATCTTGAGAGGCCTAAGGCATACATCTATGTACATAAATTGTGTAGATATATGTGCACAATTAAGTGCATCAAATCTTGATACAGTGGGTGTGTCAATATGACCGGTACGCAGGGAATGTACCGGTACATAGTCATGGTAAAGAGAACTAATGACGAAAAATGTTGTGCTTGGCAAACTGAATGATATTAATAAAACTTTATCAGGCAAATCTTACTGGTCTTTAACACCCATTTCAGATGGCATTCCAGAGTTGAACCCAACCAAATTATTCCCAAGATTTAAATTAAAAAAGCAACTGTTGCAGTCCTTCAAAAGGACTGTAGAATCTAGTCAATGGAAAATGACTACATTACGTTCACCTGTCTGAAACAAACATCTACTTTAGCAGATCCTTTTACTCTTTGATTTGGTGTAACTCTGCAGTGTCAGTCTCTGAAAACAGCTAAGTGTAAATTTATTATTATAAGATGGAATTTTGCGTCGGGTGATTTAAATCAAATTAGGTTTTGCCCTCAAACGTCGGTGAAGGGCAAAACCTAATTTGATTAGTATCACCAGACGCAAAATTCGTAAAATCTTATAATAGTTTATGCGGTACCCGCTGCTATGTACATCAGATTCGAACCAGCCAACCGATCCCGTTAGCTCGGTGGTCGAGTGGTAAGACATCTGCACAAGAAGGCAGGAGGTCGTGGGTTGGAGTCCCACCCAAGTGATTTTTTCCAACTTTCACTCAGGAGGTAACACACTGAGTACACGGTGTTTAAACGTCGGTGAAGGGCAAAACCTTATTTGATGTAAATTTATTGTTTTCAAAGGATACCGAATGAGGTGTGTATGATGCCCAGACAAGACAGCACCAGCCTGATGACACAGACCCAAGTGGGGCTGGGGGTGGGTCTGGTCCGGTAGGAGAGCCAGGAGTGGAGTAGACAGTATGCGACGCCAAACGTGAAGCAGAAGAAGGCACCAAGCAGATGAATCAAGAGATTCTTGTCCTCCTGGGAAAGAAGAAAAAAATAGAAAAGAGAACAATATGGAATTAACTGGTTTTGTATGATGGAAATTCCTTCACAATTATTACCCCTGTTCATCATGGCATGAGACCACTTTTCTGCAGTGCTCATAGTAATGATTTAACATATTGGGTAAATTCCATGTAACCAAATGCGCATCACAGTTATTATCCCTGTTCATCAGGAAAGAGACCTTTTTTTTCTGCAGCAGCTCAAGATCAGCGCAATTTGGTGTCTATCTTCACAGGTATCCATTTATATTCCTGGGTGGAGAGAGGCAATAGTAGTAAAGTGCCTTGCCCAAGAGCACAAGCACACGTTCCCCGTCACGGTTCGAACCCATGTACCACGGCACACAAGTCAACCACCATAACCATTGGACCACAGTGCCCTCATCAGTGCTACTGGTATCTGGTCTCTGTAAGCTTGTATGTACACTCCATGGTGGAGAGAGGCAATAGTTGTAAAGTGTCTTGCCCAAGAACAAAAGCATCAAGATCCCAGTAAGGAAACAAGGGGGGGGGGGGGACACGAACAATGACAAAGTAATGTCTGTGTCACAGTTCATATATATTTGAAAAGCTGAGTTTTTGTGACTTGACTCAAGACTGAATGTCTTGAGACTGACTTTGTGATTGACTAGTGATTGGCTTGTGATTGACTTGTGATTGACTTGTGATTGACTTGTGATTTGCAAGTGATTGGCTTGTGATTGACTTGTGACCGACTTGTGATTGGTTTGTGATTGACTTGTTTTTTGCTAGTCATTGACGAGTGATTGATTTGTTATTGATTTGTGATTAACTTGTGATCGAGTTCAACTCTTGACATTCGTGTTCACATTTTAACAACATTCGTGGTATAGTTTACTAGGGAAAAACACACATTAGTATGTTTCTTCAAGCACACTGATAAAACCTTGCGAGAGCCCTAAAGAATCAGACTTGATAATCCATGCACCCACGTGAACAGTCATAATGAGAACAGGATGCTGACTAGCATTGCTCGCTGAATGTAAGAGGTTTGAGATCAAAGTAGGGGAAGGAAACAGAATAAAAAAAAATCGAAAGCTCGACATCGACACACCATGAGACGCTAGAATGGCTGACAGACAGACAGACAGGGGGAAAATCGACCTAGACACGGGCAAAGACGCAGTGGGGGACTGGGAAACAGATAGAGTGAGACTCAAGCATTATAGGCTTGTGTGAAAAAGGTGATTATTTATATACATGTATTACCATATATTTACTGATGAAGTGTTAAAAATTGAGCCAAACTTTCAGCTTAACCCATTAGCACTTGCACTAGATTCACAGGAGAATCGATAAATAAGGATAATGGGCAGTTATTGGGCTGCAGTTACCGTAGTAATAGGCACGGCTGTTTGGGCGATACAAAAGGGTTAAAGGTAGAGCAGATCATTTGTCATTTGTGCATTATGTTTGTTTGAAGCAACAAAAGTGCTCAAAATCTAAAGAAGGGAGCTAACCAACTAACCTGATGAAGCTTTCGCTCTGTGTGTGCTGTACAATGTATAAGTCAAGAAAACAATATTCTAGGATCTCAATTTCAATTAAAAAGTTGCTGAGTCATATTATGAATTGCGCCCGAAATCAGCATCCGGAACACTTCTCATTCAGCCGATTGCAGCTACACGATATCATGCACTGAACTGACGAATAATAGCAACCGTGCGCACATGTGCGTCGTGTCAACGCTTGCGCGCACCCATTCACGGATTCGCCGAATTACAAGCCAACTACTAACAGAAATGTAAAAATAAAATGATTACTTGACGCATCTGTGGTAATGACCTTCTTTTATTGTTTTCTTCAAAATGACAGCATGCCAGAAGGAATAATTTCCCAGGGAGCTCAGTGTCATTACTATGTTTAAGTAAGAATTTCAACAATAATTTGGATTTTGTCAGTTACTTTTTGGATAGCTGCAAATGATCTACTCCACCTTTAATAGAAAATTATCCACTAAGCAACAATGAGCTGAGAACCAGTGACAAGCAATGTGTACCTGGCCTAGCAATTTGGCTGGTAACCTGTTTGTCCTAAGCAAATGTTTCCTGCACTTAGCAAGTTTCTATGCTTAGTACTAGTTCTAGTAAGTATGAAATTGGCCCCTGGTGTTAGTGGGAGGGCTTTATAGGAGATTAGACAAAAATTACAGGCTGATAATTCTGGACCATGTAAATTAGAGGTTCCACTACATTCACCCATGGAGATCATATACCCACAGTACTTTTTCACCCACAATGAGATCATATACTGAGCCCCACATATTGCTGGGGTCTACCTGATGTTCCCCAATACATGTACATGTGACCACGTTCCCTAATATCGATGTTCCCCGAAATCCTTAGGATTAGGGTTAGAGTTAGCGTTTAGGGTTAGGGGATAAGGATTTCGAGGAACATCAATATTGGGGAACATACCCGGTATAGGTATGCATCCATATTGCTGATACAGTCCAACTCGATGAGTCAGACTTGCATTTTTCCCCAAACCTGCCACGTGTACCAAGCGATGAAAGCCTTCCGCCCATCAGCCAGAGCAAATCATTCAGACCGATCAAAGGTATTGGAAACAGGCAAGACAGGTGTAAGGCCGATTGATGGACCCCAAACGGATAGAAGTTGATAGGGATGGTGGGGGGGGGGGGGGGGAATAGGGGTATAAGATGGGACAGAGGAAAGCAAACAACAGTTTAAGAGACACGCAATTGGTTTAAAGAAATGAATAAGTGGAATTATGGCCTTCACATTTAGACTGTTTTTCAGAGTTGTACCAGTAAGTATATGTCATTTCAAATCAAGAAACTTGCAAGTCATCACAAATACGTCAATCACAAGTCAACACAGAACAATCACGATTCAATCACAGAACAATCACAAGTCAACAACAAGTAATCATGAATCAATCACAAGTCCATCACAATTAGTCAATATCACAAGTCAACCGTAAGTCAATCACAAGTCAATCACAAGTCCATCACAAGTCCATCACGAGTCCATCACAAGTTAATCACAAGTCAACCGCAAGTCAATCACAAGTCAATGGCAAGTCCATCACAAGGTAAACGCAAGTTAATCACAAGGTATACGCAAGTCAATCACAAGGTATACACAAGTTAATCACAAGGTATACGCAAGTCCATCACAAGGTAAACGCAAGTTAATCACAAGGTATACACAAGTCAATCACAAGGTATACACAAGTTAATCACAAGGTATACGCAAGTCCATCACAAGGTAAACGCAAGTTAATCACAAGGTATACGCAAGTTAATCACAAGGTATACACAAGTTAATCACAAGGTATACGCAAGTCCATCACAAGGTAAACGCAAGTTAATCACAAGGTATACGCAAGTCAATCACAAGGAATACACAAGTTAATCACAAGTCAATCAAAAGTCACCCAAGCACAAGTAAAGTGATCTGCTTTGTTCGTCCTCTATGACCTGACCTACAATTGACTAATGTATACACTTGTCATTGAGTTATGATCAACTTGAGATTGACTTGTGATTGTGTTTTAATGTGCTGGTAATTGATTTGACTTGTCATTGAGTAGTGATTGAGTTGTGAATGACTCGAACTTGGGACTGACTTTCGATTGCCTCTTAATTTACTTGTGATTGATTTGACTTGTCACTGAGCTGTGATTGACTTGTGACTTACTTGTGATTGACTCTTCGGTATGTGATTGGCTTTAAATGGATTTGGGATGGACTTGCAATTTAGTTATGATTGATTTGTGATTAATATGTAGTTGACATCAGATCTGACTCATCAACTTCAGATTTTACTCCATTTCGTGAGTCAATGTGTAACATGTGCAACAGGCACTGGATCAAGCGAACAACCCACAAATGTTCTCCTATAGGATATGCACACATGCACAAAAATCTGCCAAATTTCCCACAAATTTTCCGAACAACCCACAAATTTTCCCCTAGGCTATGCACACGTGCACAAAAATCTGCCAAAGTTCTTGCCATTTGTGTATGCTTTGGCGCATGATACAGCATGGCAGATCAGGATATTCAGTCAGTTCGTCAGCATTATGACTAAGAATGATGTACAGTTGCCACAGCAACCGTTACGTCAGCGTTCATGAGCATTTATTTCTTATTTCTACTGAAATGAGTATCAGATGGCTCCATATTGTATTATTTAGGGAAGTACTTTGTTACGTTTGTTTTCTGGGTGGTATGTCATGTTGGTTGATCTAATGATTGAATGGGAAATGTGGGGTTTATGACTTGTGCCTCGCTCGAGGAAAAATCAACTGACTATGACGAGCCAACATGGGACTGGTTAAATCATCATGATTTTATGTGCGTCAGAGATCAGGATTCAAGTTCGCGAAGCTGCCAAGAGCAGATCTACATAGATCTACATGACAATTCTGCTTCGCACAGACAATATTTGCTTAGTGAAATTGGTCATGGTGGTTGTGGTAGAGTATACAAATAATGAATGTTCATGAGTGCAATTAATGGTAAGAATAATTTCATGAGGTGAGAGATGGAAATGTTCCTTTTGATGAGGCTTCGCCTCGTGGAATGGAACATTCCATCTGTCACCTCATGAAATTATTCTTACCATTGCACGAAACTGAAACATTATATTATGCAAAGAAGAATGCATGAGGTGACAGGTGGAATGTTCCATTTCATGAGGCGAAGCCAAGTGGAATGGAAAATTCCATCTGTCACCGAATTTATGAAATTATTCTTTCCACTGCACGAATGTGAAACATTCATTATTTGTTTTTTATAACATACCTGTACAACATGACTAAATCCTTGTCATCTGATTGGTCAGAGCCACCAACCTTGTGACCGTGAATTGGAACTTCTATTTATGCGGTGCAGCTGGGCCATGGGTTGGGACGAATTCAATGACATGTGGTCAACAACCCACCAATCGGGGGATTTTTTTCAGCAAATGTGAAGCTTATATGTATTTTGCTTGTGATTCACTGACTTTTGCTGATCAGGTAAACCTTAGCTTAGCAAGTTTGCTCAACTAATAGCAGCTTAATGAAATTGAGCAAATACCCAATGTCTTCCTGCCTTCCTAGGCTGAAATGATTCAGAAAAAAAAAAGTTCTGTCAAAATGTTAGTCTCACAATGTATGTGCACATAGTACAGGCACGTGCAGGAATAACCTACATGTATTGACCCTTAACCTCGAAAACCACACAACCACAATTTCGTCAACCACAGACCACACATCCACTGACAAATTGTACCATTGCTCACGCATTGATGGTTATATGAAAACTGTACGTGAACTTCAAACTGGTAAAAAAAAAAAAAGAATTCACCTGTGCATTTTTCTTGGATCTAAAGCACAACAGGAACAGACAAGCTATTCAGTTTTGGCCAATATGACTGAGTTAGTCATAACACAAACTGAAAGGGCTCCCTTGTTTGTTAAATCTCAGATGTATCTTTGCGATTACCACTTGCGATTGACTCCTCATGGCTTGTGATGCATGTACCTAATTGCGATTTAATTCTGACGGCTTCTGATACTAGCTTGCGATTGACTTGTGATGGCTTGTTATAGCCTATTGTGACTTGTGATTGCCATGTTACAACTTGTGATTAACTTGTGATCCGATTTATGATGACTTCCGATTTACTTCTGATGGCTTCTGATACAAGCTTGCAATTGAGTTGTGTTAGGTTGTTATAGCCTGTGATGACTTGTGATTGCCTTGGTACAACTTGTGAATAACTTGTGATCTGATTTGTCATGACTTCCGATTTACTTCTGATGGCTTCTGATAGCTTGCGATTGACTTGTGATGGTGTGACTTGAAATTGCCTTGTAACAACTTGTGATTATAGCTTGTGATTATATTTATGATGACTTCCGATTTACTTCTGATGGCTTCTGATAGCTTGCGATTGACTTGTGATGGCTTGTTATAGCCTGTGATGACTTGTGATTGCCTAGTAACAACTTGTGATTAACTTGTGATCCCATTTATGATGACTTCTGATTTACTTCTGATAGCTTGCGATTGACTTGTGATGGCTTGTTACAGCCTGTGATGACTTGTGATTGTCTTGTAACAACTTGTGATTATAACTTGTGATCCGATTTATGATGACTTCCGATTTACTTCTGATGGCTTCTGATACTAGCTTGCGATTGACTTGTGATGGCTTGTTATAGCCTGTGATCGACTTGTAATTGCCTTTGTACAACTTGCGATTTACTTGTGATCTGATTTGTCATGACTTCTGATTTACTTCTGATAGCTTGCGATTGACTTGTGATGGCTTGTTACAGCCTGTGATGACTTGTGATTGTCTTGTAACAACTTGTGATTATAACTTGTGATCCGATTTATGATGACTTCCGATTTACTTCTGATGGCTTCTGATACTAGCTTGCGATTGACTTGTGATGGCTTGTTATAGCCTGTGATCGACTTGTAATTGCCTTTGTACAACTTGCGATTTACTTGTGATCTGATTTGTCATGACTTCTGATTTACTTCTGATAGCTTGCGATTGACTTGTGATTGACTTGTGAGTGCCCTGTGACGAGTCCTTCACACAAGTCATATACTTACAGGAAAGTTGGCAAGGACCACCAGACCAGCTCCGGCCACCGCACTGACTATCAGACCCGCTCTATTGACCCGACGAAATCGCCAGAGTCTGTTCTCTTGGAACCTGTCTTCGAACTGCCGAACATGGTGGTAACGTACATACGCCGTCAGTAGAACTGAAGAACAGAAAAGTAAATACATGTAATTACCGGTATATTATGTAAAATGCCCATATACTGAAATGACCCCAAAACCTTTGTCCAACAGAAATAGAGCATATGGGTTACTCACGAAAATGTAACGTGAGTAACCGATTTTGTGGGTCTTGTTTATCATACATAACACATTTTTCTGGATGTCATCTTTGGTGCTTAGTTAGGTCTAGGTCTACTCTATCTACCATGGGGATAACAGTTATTAAATCTTTTCAGTAAGGTTATTACAGCCCAAGGAAACTCAAAAGTACATCAAAAATGTAACGTGAGTAACCGTGGAATTGCCCATATAATGCATGTATTCAAAGAACTTGACATTCTGGCCTAGCCTATACATATTATGCACATTGTACATGTACATAGAACCTATCATGCAATGAATTATGAACTTTAATATAAAAAATGGACCAGCCCAGAAGCTACCGGCACTTACATACTGTACATGAAGTAAATTAGCAGTTGTAATTTATTCACGTGAGTTTTAACAGTAGACATGCCAAAACACTTATTAGTTACCCCATCAACACAATAGAACAGTCCTTTAACTCTTGACCAATAGTACAGAGCAGTGGCTATAATGTATTCATTTATGCAAGAAATACACAAGAAGCAGACACACAGCTATGGAAAATATCTCCAATCATCAATGCAGTGCATTAGAACAGTCATACATCTCTTGACCAATAACAATAGGGTAATTGAACTTAATTAATTTGGAAAGAGATATATAATTACAAAATGTAAGTATTGCAAAAGCCACACAGACTCAACACTGACTCCCTTATAAATGCAGCACAATGGAAAAGACCTGCAATCCTAAACCAATAGGAACTGAGCAAAAGTAATGTATTCTTTTATTCAAGAGATATCCAATGCAGCAGACACACACAGAAAAAAAGAGATGAATAGGCCTATCAACGGCAACCATCAATGCAATGAAACAGTCCTGCAACTCTAGACCAATAGCAATGTAGCAAAAGTAATTTATTCATTTATGCACAAGATACTTACACAATGCAGCAGACACATCCAGAAAGAGACTGAATAAACTGCTCTCCGGATAGTGAACGCCAGTATCACTGCAAATAAAAAGAAAACAAAAACTTGTAAAATGCTTCAAGTACATGTAAACGGTAACTTTACCCAAATTCAAGCTTTAAGCACAGGGCAGCTGTATTTCATGGAAATTTTCATGGACCTCTTTAGAAAATTAAAGGTCAATGATTCTATCTAACCAAACTTATGGCGCAGAAACACGATCCGAAATAGGCCCATTGAATTGGGAATTTTGGCAAGTTTCTGAGCAATTCCTCTCAAATCCTTCCGCAATGATGTTACAGCATAGCTTACAAACTGATCAGTTTATTACACAAAGATTTGAGGGAAATTGTTCAGAATCCTGCAACAAAACACTAGACATGCTCGAGAAAATGTGCCTATTTTGGAAAAACCTTCCCGACACTTATATTTACAGTTTGAGCAGTCTCCGCGTGTGCAAGAAGTGTGCAAGACTGTCCCAGAAACACATCCAGGCAGCTTTAAACAGGTTAATGCACTCTAGAGAATTTAATCAAATCCCGAAAACAGCTAAACCCTCTTTCCGCTTCAACGAGGCAAGTTTTGGCAAATACTTGGGAAAGAACTTACAGGGAAAAAAAATTAGACAAACACTGCCAAGACTTGCTGGTGATTTATCCTTCAAAGTCTGGTGATCGGAGATAAAGTTTCCAGTCCCAGCAACCATGCTGGGTAGATTTCCAAGGGGATTGCAATTGGTGACTCAGACGTTTTGAAACACCTACGGAATCTCCGGCGAGCATGTCTCAAACTTTATGGCAGTGATCTTTGGTGAAGTCTGAAAAATCTTTTCCAAGGTCGAAATGACTAAGTGGTTTATCACACAAACCACAGGTTTATTTCATCAGCATTTTCACGAAGGGACCATGCAGCTTCTCAAAAGTAAAAAATACATTTTCATCCAATTTGTTAATTGATACATCACAACAAAGTTGGTAGCATTCAATTTTCAGTGTGTTCCCTGGCCCCACAGCACATACAGGCTGATGGCTCTGACATGGCCTGTAGTGCCCTTGTAAAAAAAACTTTGATGATTAGCGATACCGACAAACACAGGGTTTGGTACCTGCAGTCAGTTGGTATGTAAAGTGTGGGTATGGTGGTTCAGACTTTGTAAGTTATAAAATCAGTTTTACAAGGTCCCAAAGGGCCAGCCTATAGTAGTTTGTAGTTTGTACCTTACTGACTGACTGAGTGACTGACTGATGGTTACATGTGAGCTGGGCAGTGAACTGTATGATGCCAATGAATGGTGCCAATTGGGCACACCTTAATTTATAAACTAAAAAAATGTCGTAAAACGTGTGCACTCTAGCTCAGCTGAGACCAGTTTCATTTACTAGGCTTGCCTTGCCCTGTTTTAATGAGAAAATATTTGGACCTACGAAGCTGCTCAGACAAAGTTCTATGATCTTCACAGCAGTTCATGTACCGGTATACAGTAGAAAATCTAACTCTCATATAAGAAACATTAGGCCAACAATCACAGATTCTTTGAAGAACTTGTCAACCCCAAATACATGGAGACCGCATTTGCTTTAGTGCTGACGACACAGCCACAATCTTGCTGCGTATCCTTGCCTTGTGGATTCCCAGCTGAGGGTTGGTTCCTGTTCTGTACCCCTCTTACACCCCCCCCCCCTCCACTCTTTCAAGTAGACAGTCTAGGGTGACTCATCCTCATCATAACCCCTCAGGAACCCCCTAAAACCCGCTTTGTATCAGCATGGTTTGCCGACACGCTCAGCTGTCGCAATCTGTAAGTTCACAGACACAGACCACCAGCTGGTACATGTACTATGCTTATGGCTTTTGTAAAACAACTAGAGACCTTCATGTTCTAATTTGTGTTTGGGTGGACGTTGGAGGACACTTCCTTATTCCAGTAGCTTGACTCAACAGGCTGTGAATTTAGAAGTCATGCTTGGGCAGCAGCACTTTTCTCACATTCAAACTATATGTCACTCAGGTTCGATTTCCACCGATGGTTTTCAGTGATATGTAATTCATGTTTGGGTGCACGTCAGAGTAGCCTTCCTTGTTCCAGGACCTTGACTCATCAGGCAGTGACCACGCAGGTATGTCTGGCTGATGGAGTGGTGCTTTCCTACCTAGCATCCACCTTTGTCACGATGATTTGAATCCCATTGAGGCTTTTCATGTTTGGGTGGATTTTGTACAGTACATGTGCCGGTAAGTTACCAGAGGATCCTTGCTTATTCCGGGAGCTTGACTCAACAGGCTTTGAAAAGGCAAGCCAGGCTGGTAGTTTGGTGCTAGCTTTCCACCTCTGTCAACCAGGTTCAAATCCCACTGAGGGTTTCAGTCCCCAGTCATGTTGCTATTCATGTTTGGGTGGATATTGATTTTAAACAGAGGATTCCTCCTGGGTCCAGGAGATTTTCTCAACAGAGTGTGAAAAAGGCGAGTGGTACTTTCCTTGCCTTGCACCTCCAAGACCAAGGTATATATCCCTCTGAGGATTTTCAGTGCCTAGTCGTGTTCTAATTCGGGTTTGGGTGGATAATGGAGGATCCTTCCTTGCTTTGGGATTTTGTCTCAGCAGGGTGTGAACATAGCGATGCTAGCCCGATGGTGCTCTCCTCACCTTCAACCTGTGTGACATGGCTTCGAACCCCTTCAAGAGTTTTCAGTCTATTGTCATTCATGTTTGGGTTGACATTGAAGGATCCAAAGCTTCCTTATCACAGGAACTTGACTCGACAGGCTGAGAACAGGGAAGTCATGTTGGCAGCAGTAATTTTAATGCCTTACATTAACCCAAATGACCAGGATTCGAATCACACTGATGATGTTTAGTCATTATCTGATTCGATGGGGTTTCTCCAGTTTTTAATGTGTGTCTTCCTCCCAACTCTTAAACTCTCTTCCTCCCACTCTTAAACTCAACAGGTTACTTCAGACTGCTTTTTGGGAAGTTTTGGTTTCATTACTACATGTAGGAGCAATTAAAGGGAAAATACAACATTTGCAAACATCAAAAAATAAAACTACCAAATCATTTTGAAATACCTTGCTGGACTGTTAGTGAATGACAGTGTAAAGCATCCTGTAAAATCATGGCACCTGGTATACTGTCATTTTCAAGAAAAGTGGTATTTTTGTATCAATTTCCAACGCTGATCGGCCGATCAGCGTTGGAAAAAAACTGGCTTTTTTTCAAATATTGGCCCCAATTGACCATCGCACTTGTTTGCAATCGATTACAAACCTATGAACGGGTACGAGCCAGCTAGACTGGTTCCCTGACCTTACAATTCCCCAATGTATGTAAACTGCTCTGTTTCTTCTTATATGGAGTCAGGGAACCAGACTACAGGAAAATGATTGTTTTTCTTGGTTTTTTTAGCATTTTCGAACCCAAAACCTCAAAAAAGTCAGTGTAACTATATTTGCTATATATTTCCAACCCCCCAATTCCATCCATTTCTGAAAATTACAGCAAAAGCAAATGATGTATATTCCCTTTAAACTCAACAGGTTACTTCAGACTGCTTTTTGGGAAGTTTTGGTTTCATTACTAGGAGCAATTAAGTAACAACTCAACATTTCCTTTGTGTATAAAGATCCTGTGACACGGGCTACAAATTCAAGAAACTGCTACAAATATACATGTACAGTTTTACGAATAGCAAGATCACAAATCACAAGCCAGTGTCCTGTGATGTCAATTACTTACTGTATGACTTGTTACCCAATGACTTTTTTAGCTGAGCTGGTACGTATTTGTGTCCTTGAGCAAGCCACTCTACTGTGATTTTTCCTGAATGGAATCCGTGTGCGAGACATTTTGCTTATCTCTGCTAGGATTGAGGGTTGTATTCAGAATTCTATAGCTACATTATATTGATTAGGGATTGATAGAGACTCACCTGATGTATGGAAGGACTAAGAATATGTGCTCATTCGCTGCAGCAAGAATGTACCTGGAGTAAAAAACAAAAAAGGAAAACTAATGAATGTTAATTCACAATGATTAACAAAGGTGCTGTGATGGATTTGTGATGAACTTGACTACTGGTACAGCACTGCTAAAACTCTGATTGTAGAAAAGCAAGCAATAGCCTGGACCAATTCCAAACAAAATAAATAATAATCAAGTTATTTCAGGATGTGACCCCCAAAACAACAATTTGTCACAGGATGAGGGTTGTCTAGGGTGTCTGGTAGTCTCCCTTTCTTCACCACTTCACCAGCACTTTTTTAAAAAGAGGGGACTATAGCTAGTTGGGCCTGCTAATTCAGCCCAGAGATCATGCTTTTTCATTTCTTGTTTGCCTCTTGCCTGAAGTGGCTTTTATCTATGATTGACCTTACATATTTTCATCTCTCAAACATTCTCTTTCTTCAGTTTATCTCTCAAACATTCAGTTCTTCTGAAAATTCTTCAGTGTTTTCTTAATGCTCACACATAGAAACCTGATGATCGATTTAAGACAACGTATTTCAAAATGGTGGTAAAATTGTAGTTAAGTGCACAACATTAGTATAAAACTGCTCAGAATATTGTGCTCAATAAAAATTTTCAGGACCCAATCCAAAAAAAAGAAGAAAATAAATAAAAAAACACTGTACAGATTTTCTCTTGCGAACATCTTTGTGCATAAAGGCCACTGCCTGCTTGCACCGGATGTTCTTCAGGCATTTGTCACTTCCTATTGCCCGGCACGGCCCCAACCGCTCGGCTACCTTCAAGAGGCCTGACGGATTAGGCTCCTAATCGCTTAAACCTGGATTCTCTTCCCCCTCAGCTGAGGAAGCGTTGGAATGATGAGTTAATGTCGGCAAGCACATGCCGCCCGATGACATAATATCATGGCCATGCGTCTCCCCCAACCAGGGGCTTTGTCTCCGGCTTCGGCTAATTCAGCCCTGGCTCCAACATTATGAAGAAAATAATACTTCTTAAGTTTTAGCCTTATGTGCTACCGGTAGGCACATTAATACGCTGAAAAGGTTTGAAGGATTTCATCGTCCTGAAGCAGCCTGAAGATACATTTCTAAGCTGAAGATCTAACTCTCCTGAATATGTGCCAGAGATAAAACCAACGTGTTGAATTCTCCGATGTGTGAAGCTTGGATTGCCCAATTATCCCTGCCCACCTTTGGTCTGTGTACATTTCTCAGTCTCGTAGTATTGAAAGTTTGGACCAATTTTTATTAAGCTAAGGCCAAGTTCAGGCAAAGATCATTAGTCGACTAGTGGTTGATTTGTGACAAACCTTACGCCTGCGCACTAAAAGCAACATGCGAACATCTCTAGTCAAACGCTGGTCAAAATGTCATTGCAAAACTTCTGGATCCTGGCTCCCTGCGGTACGTTATAAACCAGCCCCAGTAGGTTGGTTCCAAATAGTCGACTAGCGTAGTCAATTACTACCGTCGACTAGACAGAGTTCGGGCTAACTTTAGTTGAACTATGGTTGACCAATTGTCAACAATAGTTCTTGCGCGAACTTGCCCTAAAATGTGCCTTGGTCACCTGACCTAATGCCATGATCTAATTGGTTAATGCGCACTGTTTGACTGACAGGCGAGAAGGTGCTCTGCACAACCTCTATGATCCCCTGAAAGGATTCAAACCTTATAATATTGAAGAACTGAATCAAAATAGCCCTAACAGTCCTGAATCCTCCAATTTTAATTCAACTTTGCACACCCCCTCCAAACACCATCCTGTCTGCTTCACAGACAACTCTGTGCTGGCCTCCAAGGACCAGCCCAATTTCCCACTGCCTCACTGACTGACTGTCTACATTTGTACACATATTGCTGTGTTGGAGTCCATCTAAGTCCTTTCACAAGTCCATTTACAAGTCCTTTCACAAAGCCAGTCACAAGTAACTGGATGAACAATGACAAAGGAATATGCTTTTGTAACTGTTCATTTGAACATATATGTAGCTAATGACTTGACTTGAGAATGAAAGACTTGTGATGGACTTGTGATGGACTTGCAGAGATTGAGTACAACACTGCATGTAAGTGGATGAATAACTGAGCCACTTTATGTACATTTTGTACCACAGTACCTTTTCCCCCTAAATTCAGACTTTCACGTCCAGCTTGATATATGCAAACCTACTTTTTAAAATGTATTTATTGATTTATTTTGTAATAATGTTATCTGCAAGCAATTATCTACAAGTAGTCCTCACCTCAGCAAAATGGTAACATAATCGAATCTAAGACAGATGCTTCCCCCTTTACACAATGACAAGGGGGCTATGGAAGAGCTCAGTTTCTAGCTAATCAACCTAATCAAAGACTTCCTAACAGGAGGGGAACCAGAGGTGGAACCAGGTCCCTCTAGGGTGTCCCAAGGGGTGCGAATTGGGCCCTCCAGGAGGGTTGGAGGGGGAAGATAAATCTCAACCTGGACTCTGACCATGCTGACAACCCTGAAACCGAAACATAATTGTAATTTTGGAGGATGGTTTAAGGAAATATTAATTTGACATGGCAGTCAGGCTTTAGAAGGAAGGTAATTTTGAAAGCAAAGGGGGAGGATAAGCCAAATAAAGGAACTCTAGAAAAGGTAGAAACTGACATTAAAAGGGAAGGGTGGTTGCAACTTATGAACGAATTTATATACAATTAGATACATGCATCTTCACTGTTTTCATCAACAGATTCAAAGATACATTCGATTATTTAATTCGATTACTTTCTACGTAAGGAATTAGGTCCCAGTTGTGGTTTTCCTGGGTTTTTATAAAACAAACCACAATTCTGTGGGTTTCAACAACCAAACCACAGTTTTACTAACCAAGAACAAAACCACAAGTGCAAAAAATAACCCATCTTCAGATAGGGTGAATGGACAAGCTGTCTGGGAAATGCATATGGCAAAATAAACAGAGTAGCTTTCAGTTACCTTTTGTGTACATTTGGGGTCTTCTTTTATTGAAGAACTGTCAGGTTCATCCACCACTAAGAAAAAAGCTTCGAAGTATCCTGAAGATCTTTTTCAACGAGACAGGCAAAACCAGTAAAGCTGGTCCTACAGCACTCACAATTCTATTCTAAGTTGAATCGGAATGGCTATTTATCAAGTCTTTCCACACAACTTGTCTACTATTGGGCAAAATTAAGCCCATTCATTACAGGGTAATCCTATAAGATAGCACTGCCCGGCTCTTTTCACACCTTTTAAAAATAAAACATGCTAGCTCACAAGTGACAGTCGGCAGGCAGTGAAATACTGGAAAGGGGCACCAGGCTGCCAATCTGGAACCAGCAAAATCAAGGCCAAAGATTTGGTTTCCTTTAGATGTATCTACCATTAGGGTAATTCCATAAATTTGGGGTGCGGTCCAAAATTGTGACATATTTTGGTGTCCCTGTTACACCTCTCCTGTGTATAATTTTGCAAAACAAGTATCATTAAAATTGACTTCAAACTAATTTTCATTTGATTCGCAGGTACAATGTGCTTTCCACAATCATTCTTAAGGAGAGAGAAGGCACTTAAGAATGTGTCCCAAATTACAAAATCTTACACATGTCACTTGTCAGATGTACCGGGTAACAGGGACACAAAAAGTGAACCCAAAATGTATGAAATGAACCATTAACCTCCTAAAAATTCTTCAGTTAGGAGGAACTACTCCTTCTTACAACTAATTTCCACCTTATGTCAAGTGTGATGAGCATAACTGAGATCGGACAGATTTAATTAGATTCACATGTTGGAAAATATTTGCTTTTTTAGAGTTACCGCCCAATGGAACGGAACCCGTGAATGGAACAATTTCCTTCCCATAATTCCCTCCGTTGTCACGGCCCTGGTGCTATGGCCACCAAAATTGATGATTTCCTGAAAAACGTTACGAAATTAATACTCATTTGTACCAATTTTGGGAGTCAATGATGATGGGCAGTAATGTCCTGAGGTAAGGTACATTGTACTTTTGTGCATGGTTGATTTGAATTTCTGAAGGGTTTTGAATGTCTTTATAGGAAAATCATCTTGACAACACAGAAACATACATGAAGCCTCAATCATCCCCGTACGTTACCAGTCTGTGTATCAATTGAGATCTGTCTTATTTGTGTTTTCAAATGCACACACATCTGTAGGATCATTTGCTTATTGTTCCAAATTACACCACCACTCATTATCCAAAGAACAATGTTTTAAAGCCAACCTGTTGAAACTTCAGTTTAGTCGATGTTACATTTTTCAAGAAAACAGTGAAAAAGTATGCACTTGTGGCCCAGGCAATATAATAGATACCCCTTAACGCAAATGATGGGCTAAATCCGGTCCATTGTGTAGACAAGATGCAAGAAAAGACTTCCGTCCAATAGCCGTTTTAAATCAATTGACAACATTATTTTCTCCTGTGGAAGCAGCTTGGGGTAGATGTGTCTGGTGGGTGGTTTTGGGTGTTTTTTTTTTTTTTTTTTTTTTTATACACTTCTGACAAGCACAACATCATCATCATCTACATCATTTGCAATTTCCTCTAGCCAATTAGCCACTGGCGTCACAAGAGGCGCAACGCTCGGCCATTCGCAGAGGGCGTTTTTACAATGAGACATATCCTGATTGCTCCCCCACCCATGAACAGAGAGACAGGGATGAGGGGGCGGGAGAAAGGGAGGGGGCATTAGGGGAATCTCGTGGGACCAACTTTTGACCACTACAACCCCATCCCTTCACCCATTAATGATGACCACGTTCGTAATTACTTGTTACTTTTCCGTTCTGACTGGGCGTTTCCGACAGACCCAATAATTCTGTAATTGTCCCTTGGGGTTCAGAGGTTAGGTGGGGTACGGTACGTAATGTGCCGCCCTTCACAATTCAGTGCTGTGAAAAACACTGATCTATGAATAGATTTTTTATTAACGAGGGAAACGCTAAATTAATAGACATGCATTCACTGGATGATGTTGAAACT